ATGATTCTTCAAATGTCAGCCAGAAACCTGTGATTTTCTCTTTTTCTCATATATTTCTATTTTTACACAGCTTCTAGAAGACTGCATTATTAGAGGGCCTCCCTTAAATATGACATTATAATCAAAGAATGTCTCTCCTGTAAGTACAGAAAACCAAGCTTCCTAGGTCAGATCAAAGGACCTTATCTTTGAGTATTTCTCTATGTAGTGAACAAGACAAATGGCTAACTTGAATAATCTTTCTCAGCCTCCTATGAGTGGCTCAAAGACTTCCTGAGCTATGGGTATATTAATATGTTAATATATTCATATATTAATTTATTTTTTTCTTCCTAATAACGTTAATTTATTGATTTAATAGTCTTTTATCTGAGAATGTTTTGGTAGGGCATTGAATCACAGAATTACCAAGGTTGGAAAAGACCTTCAAGATCATCCAGTCCAACCACCCACCAATCACCAATAGTACTCACTAAACCATATCCGTAAACACAAAAGCCAACCATTCCTTGAACACTTCCAGGGTCGGTGACTCCACCACCTCCCTGGGCAGCTCATTCAGTACTTGACCACTCTTTCAGAAAAGTAGTACTAACATGCAGCCCAAATGTGAAGGAGTCTGTCAAAAGAAACAAATGAAAATCAGTGTTTGTTTTCATTCAGGGTTACCACTGCTCTTACTTTTGTCTCCCATAGTCCCACTGACCAAATCTTGCTGCTTTGAAAGTCATGTCTCCTCATTCTGCTAGCTGGCACCTTCTAGGCTCCAGGGGAATGCAAGTGTCTTGCAAGGTCTCCAGTGGAGGAAGATGGTTTACTTCACCAGTATAAGGCCCTTGAACTTGTTTCAGTGTTCAGAGGCAAGCCACTGATGAGCATGGAGCATGGGGAGAAGTACTCATGGCAACCTGTGTTGCTAGACAGATGGATTATTTACTGTGTTTTGTTCCTGCTACAGTGTTCTCAGAGATCCTGGCTCCATTTCTAGATAGAATCAATGGTAATGAAGACTGAAGGTTAAAATATATGGATCTCTAAGGCCATTTCTGCTCCTGGGTGGGATGGGGAACAGCAACCTTGCACTTGCATATAAAAGTGAGAGTTTTTTCTGCTGCAACTCCTCAGGCACAGTCCCAGGGGCTAAGCACTGTCAGTAGTTTCTTGCCATTGAGGAATATTGCTGAAAAATGCACGTTCACCCACTTTTCCCCAAATGCAGCTTTCCAGAAACTGGCAAGTGGTATTTGCCAGGACAGTTGATGATGATGCCATACAGTGGAATGATTTCAGATGCTGCCACTACAAGCAGATTTTGAACCTAAATTTCCCTTCCTTCCAAGTTTTAGACTTAGCAAAAAATGGAACTTACTAGCTCCAAAACAACAATTTACCCTTGCTGCCCTCATCCCTATTTCTCTCTCACTTCTAATTGCATGATTCAACTTCCTGCTTGTGCCAGTTCAGATGCTTGACAGACCCTAGTGCCAAATTTCTTAACATGGCAGAAGCCTATTCACTTTTTGATGGATTGTTCTTCTACTACTTCAGTGACTCACACTTACTCTCAAGGAATGGCACAGCCAGCATGAGGTAGAAGATTGTGTAGCCACCAGTAAAGAAAGAAGGACAAAAACTGAAGAAACAGCTGGATCCTCCCCTTTTCAGCACCAATGCACTCTCCATGTCCCATGGAATCATATATTTTGATGTAGTATTTAAAAGATCAGATTTTGGGCAAACCTTTGAGTAAAGAAGACAGAAGAGAAGTTGCAAGGAACAAGGTAGCTGCTCTTAGTGTCATCTACCCAAAATTTGAAAAGAGATGCAGCTTAGGCAAGGCATGGTGGAGTCTTTTTCTCATTTTTATTGGCTTGCTGTGTATAATTTGGGTGAGCAGATGTGCTTAGATAATACTTTTAAAGAAGTTGTTTCCAAATCACTCAAATCAGCAGCTGACCCCAGAGAAAGAGAAGAATGGTAAAGTCAAATGAGATTGAGTCATTCATACTGTTTGGGTGAAAAATGGTTCTGCAACACAGAACCTGATTGGTAGGGCTGTACACTTTTAGCTACAAAGGAGTTAAAAGCAGACTCATGTCATGGAATCATAGCCTTTAATTACTTTATCTGTGAAGAGCAAGCAAATACACTTATTTATGTCTTCATTTTCATGGTCCCATGGACCCACAGAGAGAGTTCCACAGTGAAGGTCTTCAGCAAGTGGTCAGAGCAAAGATGTGCCCAAACGCTACAGACCTGAAACATGGGGGCAGTGATTTGTGGGACATTACCATCACTCCTTCAATTTCTCTATTTTTTATGTCACTTCTCCCATTTTAGAGATACTTTTATGCTGAGCAAAATTACGCATGGAAAATATACAAAACGAGAGATAAGTCTGTGATAGCTGAGAGGAATATATGTAATTAAAATACAGAGGCAAAGGTACCTTACCTCTATTAGATGTCAGTGGATTCAGGCTTTAAATCAACACTTGTTCTGTACATATTTTTTCCCTGAGATATTTTTTGACATTTTTAAAATGAAAAATTACAAGCTTAAAAGGGTATGTTCTCTTCAGAGGAGCTCTTTAAGGATCTTGCATGCAGCAGCTGATATTTCAAGCTGTTGAATTAGTAGTTCTGGGTTTCCTTTTGTACTTGCCTGTGCCAAATGCGATTAGTTGTTTCAGCCCACTCATACCCTTGGTTTGAGATGTCTGTGCATTAAGTTAGAAGGGAAATAGTCATGTGGTTCAGGTCCAATATTTGATCTGCATTATAATTGTTAACATTTCTTTCCTACATGTTGCCAGGAGATTTTAAAGTGGTGAGTTCTCATTTTGAAGTGCTTTCTCATTCTGTATTTTATTCTGTTCCTGCAGACAGACAAGACACCGAAACCCTGTATGTCAGGAACTGGGGGAAGAAAGAGAAACAGGTGCTGACATTTGGCTGCAAACTGTTCAAAGCAAAAGGAAACTTCAGGTTGGAGCAGGAGATGCCAACTTACAGTAATTGTCCTGAGTGGAATCTCAATAACATGGGCAAGAGATTGTGAAATACTGTTTGCTGAAATTAATAATAGCTGCAGGTGACAAAAGATTTTGCACCTAGGCTAAGGGTGCCAAACTTACAGAAAAAAATATCCAGGATTTCACCAGTACTATTATATGCTTGGAATAATGTTCTCCCAAATGAGCTATTGTGGCAGCTAATGAGGGCCTGAGTCAGCTGCTACAGCAGGTCCAAGTATGGCAAACACAACATGTAGTACCTGTTGCAGACTTCACAATTTCCCCTTTCTTTCTGGATTTTACACATTATTGTTCAATTACCATAACTCTTGGAGGAAACTGAGATAAGTGTGTGTCAGATATAGTGTGTGAGGAAAGCTGAGCCCAAATACTGCTGAGATTGCTGGGAAGATGTGAAAATAAAGTGGCCTGAGTGGAATGACTGTCTTACCACTTCATGTTCACAATGGCTCAGATCTACACAAAAACTGCTGTAGAAACACAAGATTCTCAAATTTCCACAGCAAGCAATGTTGTCCTTATTTTGGGCATGGGCTGAGCATGAAAATCTGAATGAGTGGGAAAGCATTTTTTAAAGCATTCATTAGGGGTATCTGGTAAACACTTTAACTCAGCATTTGTAAAATGGCTCTGAACATCTTGTGATGAATCAGGTGATCTGGAAAATGACATAGGGAATATAATCCTTGGGCACTATACTTAAGAACAAGAAATTTCACACTGAGAAGCTGAGAGAAGTAATGAAAAAGCTCTGTGCTCATCAAACCATGTATTTTGTTCTTCGGTTTCAAATACACAGCTGATCTGCCACAACAGATCAACAACCACCAAAGATGAAGGTTTTGTATTTGGAGACATTGAGGGAACAAGAAATGGGACTGCATCACACTGAAAGATAACGGCCTTTCCTTCTGTTTCTGCTACATTCTCTAGATTTGGCTTTTGCACTGTTCTCATTGAAACTTCTGTTATCTACTTGAGAGGAAACAAATCCATGTTACTCATGTAGTCAAAACACGTATTTTGAAGTATTCGGTTACTTTAACAAACTGGTAAAATCTATAGGTAACCATTCGGAGGGATCAGCTTTGTTAGAGAGCATGATTAGCTGTTTTCCCAACAGACTAACACTTTACATTCTCTTGGGTATATATTATACCCTCTTTACTCTGAGCTACGTTCAATAAAAACAGAAATATGTGTTTGAAAGGCATTGTTGATTGCTATTTCCTGCAAATAGCAAATGTTATAAGTAAGTGATTTTGTAGAGCAAAGAAGCCCTATTTCTGTTCAACACTGGTGGGATTTTTTTTGTATTCCAGGCTTCCACGAATAGTTAACATCTCGTGTTTGTTCGGGAAGTATGTCTGAGCATTTGAAGAGGCATTCTCCAGATAAGGTTTGCAATATTTTAACATTTCACAAATAATACCAACTGTGGGGAAGACAGTGCTTTGGTTGTAGGAAATTCCTTTAAAAAAAAAAAAAATTAGTTCCTATGAATATATGGTTGCATCTTACTGGAATGTTCATATTTGTATTTTCCCCACTTCCACAATCATTTGGTCGGAAGAACTGCACATTGCAAGTACGTCTGCTAAAATACACAGCTATATTTAAACCGTGTTTCATTTAATATCACTGAGAATATTTTAGCTGCTTCAGAGCGACGATATTTAGGATAACATGTTCTTTCACTTTCTAAAGCTGAGATGGAGAAATCTCTGCAATTGCTGGGAAGACTGTTTATTAAAAAAAAAAAAAAAAAGGAACATTGTGAAACGGCAGATTTCTGGGACTCGTCCAAGTCTCCCGGCCAGGACGGCGGTGCTCGTGCCTGCCGCTGCCACATGCGCCAGGTGTGACTTCAGTGGTGCGTTCTGTTGCTTTCGCATGGCGCTGGGGGCACGGGGAAGCCGCGGTGGCGGCGGAACGGGCGGAGGGAGGGGAGCGCCCGCCGGGCCGCTGTGCCCCGCGTCGCCACGGCGACGGCTCGGGGCCCGGCCATGGCGGAGGAGGGGAGCCGTGAGGGTAAGGCCGGCAGGTCCTCCATGCGGGGCCACGCGCCCGAGGCGGACGGGGCCTCCCCGGAGGCGTGCTGCTGCCTGCGAGACTCAGCGGGCCTGGGCGCGGGGAGCGAGGGGCCCAGAGTTGGGTGACGGCGTGGGGCGGTGCCAGCTGCTAGCCCTCCGCCAAGGAAAAGTGATCCGTGCCGCTGGGGGCACCGGGGCTTATTTTTAGAGGCGGGCATGTTGTGCTTCGGGAAGAGCTGCCAGAAAGTGTGATTTAAAGGCGAAAGGTAATTCCTGCCGCACTGGTGTCCGAGTGTCGTTTCCAGAAGGTTGCACTTTGTGTGCAGCTCGCCACAGTGTCGCTTCTGAATGCCGTCTTTTGTGTAAATAAACACATGGACGTGGTAGTGCCTTGGAGATTGCGAACACTGTAAGAGAAATAGTGTAAAGAATAGATTGTTTCGTATTAATGAGTAAAAGTGGGATTTTCTGTGGAAAAGTATAAATAGCTGTTGTGGGTAACGCTGAGTGAGGAGTTTGATTTTGGTGGTATTGTAAGAGTCGTTTGGATGCATTGCATACAATCAGAGGTAGGACCAATGGCACAGCAGTGAGGTCTGCTCTGACCATCTGTTTTTCATTTCTGTTTAGTCTTGAAAAGATGTGTTCCTTCATCATTCCATTTTTGCCACAGAAACAGGCACTGTGCTGGCAGAGGAAGCTGGAGATGAAAGGATAAGGGTTTGGAAATCTGAACCTTTGGAGAATCACAGAATCACAGAATTGTAGGGGTTGGAAGGGACCTCCAGAGATCATCGAGTCCAACCCCCCTGCCAAAGCAGCTTCCCTATACCAGGTCACACAGGTAGGCGTCCAGGCGGGTCTTGAACATCTCCAGAGAAGGAGACTCCACAAACCTCCCTGGGCAGCCTGTTCCAGTGCTCCGTCACCTCACTGTAAAGAAGTTCTTGCGCACATTTGAGAAGAGGCAGTCTGGTGTATTGGGAAGCTCTGGCTCCATATATATTTTGGGCAGCCACTCTTATGGTATTGAGTTTTTGCACCAATTTGTTAATCCGTTGGCAGAAACTATTGGAGAAGGAAGCTTTGGTAGTAGTGATGGATTTTGTTGTTTTTTTGATTGCTTGATTAATAGCTTCTAATGCATTTTTTTAGTTCTAATTAATTTTAAAAAAAGTGGAAGCACTGTATTCCCAAAGACACACCCTTTTGTTGATTGTTTTTTAACTACTATGGGTATTTTATCATCCTGTAAAGAACTGTTCCCAGGAGACGACCGCATGTTATCTTCTAGGGGAAAACTGTGCTGTCAAGAATTCCATTCTTGGCCCTTCCTGTCAGATTGCAGGAAGGTGGCAAGCTGGGCTTTGGTTTCCTGTCTGTAGAAAGAAGACAACGACTTGTATCTCATGGATAGTGCAAAGGCAAGGCATCTAGCTTCCCTTTGGTCACTCATGAGAACATGCTCTTACTGAGCAGATGAGTTGCTTATTGCCTCATAGAGTGTTTCATCACTGAGGCAAACTAATAGTGTCTCACTGAAGTGCAAAAGCATCCCATAAGAGAAGGTGGCTTATCTCCATGTTGGAGTTGCTCTTAGACCTCCTGCAGATAGCTGTTTGGGAGTTAATTAAAATTCCCGAATCCTGGATTCCTGCAGCAATTATGCTTTTGACAAGCATTCTACATAAACACAAACTGCAGCTTTTACTTTATTGTGTCTCAAACAGAAGAAAAGCGTTAGTTGCACTGTCAAATAATTAGTCTTTAGGGTATTCCCCTTGGTTCTTGGTAGTACTGTAGTTCCACCTGCTTTTGTGGTAAAAGTTTCCCTTAGGTCCTATTATTTTCAAGTTTGTCTTCTTCAAAGTTAAAATGCTTACTTTAATGTTTAGCAGATATACTGGATGTACACAAGAAAAAACAGTGCAAGGCCAAGGCCTGCAGCCTTTTTTGCATGACACTGCTAACTTGTTACCCTCTAGCATACATAATTGTGAATAAAATCTTGCATGTGTGTGTGTTAATATCATGCCCACAGTATATGGAGCTGTATGTTTTGTGCATGAATTTATATTCCTAGATTTGTGCTTTCAATGTTGTTTAATGTTTTTTTTTTTTTTCTTTATGCCCATCTCATTACATTAGACTGCTGCATCTTTCTCTTTTGCATGTTCGTCCATATCTTTCTTTCCATTATTCTGTTTCTCTCCCCTTTTTTGCTACTTAATTCAATCTGTCTGTTCTCCAGTTTGTTCTCAGGTACTTTCTTTATAATTTGACAGAACGTGTCAGATTTTCTAAGTTTTCATATCTCTGATCTCAATGCTGATGTTACTAGAACCTGAAAGTAAAGTGTCAGACCAGTAGTGCCTGAAGTAAAACTAGATGGAAGACAAGACATATTTTTCTCCAGTTGGGATTTAAGAAATTACATGGAAGTACATAAAAGAGAGAACGTTCAGTGTGGCTTTATCATTATGGTAATGTTGTGTATGTGATCAGTGTGAGAGTTTTACACACACCATATTCTTTGTGCTAGTTAGCACAAAGCATATTAGCATATTTAAAATGCAATTAATAAGTCAATAATTTGAATCCAAAAGGAAGTAGATTAAATTAAAATCTAAAAATTAAAAGTAAATTAAAAGTAAATTAAATTCTGAGCTCTTGTTGCACACCCGTATGGAACTGAACAACTGATTCTGGGTAGCAAAGGTCTTCTAGAAACATACCTGATTCTGATGTGAAGACTTAAGGACATGGACAATAGCCTTTCTCTGATGATGATTTTCTCTAGTAAATAGTAGTGGTTCTGGGGTTCAATTTACTGCTGCAATATGTAATTAGTCCTCACAGATCCTTTTCCCAACTTGTGAGAAACTCACATTGAGGTTGTTAGTGAAGATGGGAAAGAGTTTTTACCTCTGTTTTATAGCCTTATGTAAATGTAGTACCAATGGTTGAGCCGTACACACACCTGCTCTTTAGCTGACCTGCTTTGCTACCTGGCGTGCTGGTGAAAGTAGAGATGCACTGCAGTTTACTTCTGTTAAGAAGAGGCTGCACACCCCATTTAACTGTTGCCTCCTGTGAAAAAGTGGAGTTGCCACTGCTTCATTTGCCCCTCTGAGTCTTCCTACATCTGTGAGTGGGATCTAAATGTTCTTCACATTGCCTTGGTCTGCTTTGAGTCTGTATTCATTACAGAAATTAAAAGTGCTCTGTTGCTGTTCGCTGTATTTTGAGTTGTGAGTCCAACATTAGCGAGCCTGGTGGCTGCCATGAGTGCTGTAGGCATTTGTAACCATTAATTGTGCTCACAGCTCACTTAACAGGCAGGAGAGTTTCAAACCTAATGCAGCAAAGTGCTTAAGCTGTGTACGGCTTTGGAGAATCCCATTGAAGGTGATAATATGATGCATATGATGTGAAGTACACGAGTCCATTTAAATATTTTGCTGTACTAAGGATTTTAAATTGGTTTTGGGGGGGTTTTCAGGGGTTAAGCGTCAGCATGCAAAGTACAAAAGCTGTAGACTAAACACTTGCGATAAACCTTCAGGCTAACGTATTTCATCGGGTGAGTTATCTCTAATTGTAAAAGAAGCAGTGTTTCTTTTGAGGAAAAAAATACAACATTAGCATACGTTGTTAAAACAAATAGCTTTCATAGGGCTCAAGCAAGGACTATTTCAGCTGTAGAAGAAAACCTGAATATATGAGATCCCTTAAAAAATCAGTGTGTAGTCTTACCACCTGAGGATTTAGAGATAAATACTACTTCCTCTTGTTGACATCGCTGTGAGAAATTGTTTGAGGAGGAAAGTTGATATCTTTTATTAGGTCGTAATGCGGTTTTACATGCGCCTTGACATCACTTTGAGTTATGTTTTAATATTTGTACTTGAGACTGAGACAAAGAATAAATTGTGCCCATCTTTTATAGATCAGCACAGGCTGTAGACATCTGATCCTCTTGGCTATAGTCCTGCACTAGAAGTTATCTCAAATGCATGTAGAAGAGGTAGTTGCAGATTGGCAGATTTCTTGTTTCCATGGCACATAAAATAGCAGAAGTTATTCAGTGTGGCTGTAATTCTAACTGACTTACCGAGTACAAAATTAACTGGTTTGCAGAAAGGGTTTAAACTTTTTTTTGTCTTTTAAACAATGCTAACCAGCAGATACGCAGCACTGACAGGGAGCTGGAGAACACCCACGAATTCTCTCTAGCAGCAGTTAACATGTTATTAAGAATTTCCATGTCTGCATACTAATTATTCTGAGATCTGAGGATTTATTTCTTTATTTTCAAGCAACCTTAATTTGTGTGAGCAGATACTGCTTTGTTGCTATTTATGGTGGGATTTGGCAGGGTGAGGGTAAGGGGCAGTAGCTGTGGCTACCGTGTGAGCCTGCAGGGACCTGCTGCGGTGTGAAAGGCAGGGGTTTCCCAAAACCAAACCTGGCCAGCAAGGGTTTTGAGGGTGCACTGTGTGTTGGTCCCATGGGATGTTTTTATAAATGACCTTTAACTGTGAATGTCAATCTTTAAAATTAAATACAGATTTCAGCTCTTTGGAAATATGAAATATTTCCTGCCCGATGTTACATAGGTGTGGGTGCTGTGCAGAAGTTGTGCAGATGTGAGATTGGATAGAATTTCCTCTAGTTCAGCCTGCTGCTGCATACAGCCATCACTTTCAAAAACTTACCAGATTTGAAGTTTTTTGAAGAAGTTCCATATTCAATATGGTAAGGATTTTTGTGCTGCTGGTTTAACTTGGCAAGAGGTTCTGGACCTGGACCTTGTTTACTGGTGGTTAGGTTACAATGAGACGTGAGTTGTGAAATTTCTCCATGAGCAGCATATGTTCTTTTTTCTGCCTCAAATGGTTATAGAAATGTCTTATACCATATTGACAATAAATGTAAATGTCTTAAATTTGTCAGCTAAAATACTGTTCAAATTTCAACTATGATCCTTATGCAAAC